TTTTAAAGAATTGACTCAATAAGCGATTGAGCTATTCCTGGAGAATCAAACGAAGTCAATCGAACTCACGAATCGAAATTGCTCTAAGTTTAAAGTCAAAAATAATAAAGAATAAATGAGATAGCAGAGAAACATTAAGCACTTACTTTTCTACGAAAGTCAACAGAGGGACAGGAAAGATATTGCTTGGAGATAGCTGCCGCTTCCTCACCAAATGCATAGACTAACTCTTTGGCCTATAGAAACGTCTGAACTAATTCAAAGAATAAACACCAACATAAGTTGGTGGATAATTACTAACTCTTTCTTTCCACAGTAGATTATTGATAAATGAAAAATATGAGTTACTGCTTGCTTCATCCTAAAATTATGTAAGACAGAGAGCAAACATACTGTCTTATCATAAACTCTACATGCCGGAGGCAGATAAAAAGTATTTTCCATCATTTCAGGCAAAGGTAAATGAATGTGAGACAAATATAGCTCAACTTCCCATCCCTTGTCAATAATAAGTGATAAAATATAAACTTATACAAAGTCAGAGGTGTAATAAATTGGTTCAGTCGGGTAGGATAAATCCTGTGCAGTAAAACCCAACAGCTCAGAGTTGATGAACGCATCAATAGGAGTAGCAATCTTAATAGAGCTAAGACCGTTCATTTTGTAGGTTATTCTGCAAACTGTGTCTAATAAATCTTTATTAAGTGGTGCTGCAAGAAGATACAATATTTTTTCATCACATCTGAAATTCTTTGACCATATTTATTATAAATTCTACCATAATGCTCTCATAGGCTGAAAGTGGCTTGATTTGGGCATTTACTTTATCAAAATTGTCCCTAAAGCCACAGCAAAAAATAAGTTCCATAGCAGTTTCATCTGCAAATACGAATGAATCAGTCGCGAGCTCAAAAAGCTCGTCCACCCCGAGAAGAAACAAGGACATGACAAATGTGCACAGGGCAAACGTAAAGCGCGGACAAAAAAACGCAATATATTTTAAAAAATAATTAAATTTGTTATTTAAGATAATTATATTTTACTCCGTTGTTCTTAATTTTATGGTTAATCAATTTTGCGTAGTGTTT